AAGACACAGGACACGTGGGCGGGGAGTTCTGCGTGGGGTGTAGGGTCTGAGGGCGTCTAGCACGCACATCAAGGGCCCCCAGGAAAGCAGAGGGCCGAGAATGGGGGTTGAGACCCGGGGCACTAGCAGGACAGGGATGGGAAAGTCCCTGAGATACAGCTAAGGTGGTGGGGGGGCTGAGGCCTGGAGTCTGGGAAGTCCCGGGGGGCTGTGGGGGTGGAGCACAGGCCGGGACAGACGGCCAGCCAGGTCCTGGGATTCTGAGGACCCAGGAAAGCTGTGTGCCTGGGCGAGGACCCCTGCGGCCCAGCTTGAATCGCCTGAGCTGACCATCTCCACCTTGCACAAAATGGAGAGGGCCGACAAGAGTTGCCTCTTCTTAGGGCTCTCAGTCCCCAGTAGGACAGCCAGTAGGGTGTGGCTAGGGTGCAGCCAGCGTCTGTATCCAGGTCAGCTGTGTGAACTTGGACAGGTCACTTCCCATCTCTGAATCTTAGTTTCCTCAAGTGTATAATGGGGATGACGATAGAGTTGCAGTAATTTTTTTTTTTTGAGTTGGAGTCTCACTCTGTTGCTCAGGCTGGAGTTCAGTGGCACGCTCACGGAAACTGCAGCCTCAACCTGCTGGGCTCAGGCCATCCTTCCGCTTCAGCCTTCCAAGTAGCTGGAACTACAGGCACACAACCATGCCCGGCTAATTTTTTGATTTATTGTAGAGACGAGGTCTCACCAAGTTGCCCAGGCTGGTGCAATGTTTCTATGAGAGCAGGGCTCACCTTGCCAGCAAGTAGAAGGCACCTAGTGAATTATTGTTAGATGAGAGGAAAAATAGAGGCCCGGAGAGACTCCCAAAGCAACTAAACATAGTGCCTAAAATCCCTGTGCAACCCAGCTGCTGAGTTCACCATTTCTGACCATCTGCTTCTCAGAGTCCCAGCCCCCACAGAATGCTTTGGAAATGGAGTCAATCCTTGTATCAACTTGAAGGTGCACTGTCCCCTCCCCGGGTCTTCCTGGTACTGGTTCTGTTCACTGGGCCTCCAGACCCTTTGGCGGGGGTGGGTGTGGTGAATGCCACTACTGTGTGCCAGGTTCTGTGCCCAGTACGCTAGGTTTATGCCACTTCTTACTGGCAACAAGTGGTGAAAAGTAGGGAGTAAAGTCTCCATTTTGCAGGATAAGGAACTGATGCTTAAAAAGGTAAAATGATTTTCACTGATCAACAGTCAGTGAGTGGCAAAGCTGGGATTTGAACCTTAATTTTTTTTTTTTGAGTTATAGTCTCACTCCATCACCCAGGCTGGAGTGCAGTGGCATACTCACGGCCACCCTAGTGTCGACTTGCTGTGCTCAGGTGATCCTTCCACCTCAGCCTTCCAAGCAGCTGGAACTACAGGCGCTCGCTATCACGCCTGGCTAATGTTTTTTTTATTTATTGTAGAGACGAGGTCTCACCAAGTTGCCCCGGCTGGTCTCGAACCCGGCAATCCACTCGCCTTGGCCTCCCAAAGTGCTGGGATTACAGGCTGAGCCACCAAGCCTGGCCTTGAACTTTAATTATTAGGCAGCTGTCCCCCTAGAGGGTGCTCAGGGGAGTTGGTTATTTCCTGTGGAAGTGCAAATTCCTAGGCAGCCAACCTAAGAGGGGAAAACGAGGGAACCAGGGTACGGATACCAGCCTCACCCCCCAAACTTCAGCATAGGACAGAACAACAGGCCAATCCAAAAATTATACACTCAGTTTGTCATAGTGGGAAGGAATTTAGAGTTCATTTAGAGTTCCATTTTGCAGATAAACAAGCTGAAACTCAGAGAGGAGCTGGGACTTTCCAAGGTCACACAAAGATACTCCCCAGCACTGTGTTTCCAGGTGGTGGTGTGTTTCCAGTCTCCTGCTTTAGGAGACTTCATGTACCAGCTCCTCCAGTTGCTTGTGGATGAAGGCGCCTGTTGCCGTGGAAACCCCTCCCCTAGAGTCTAGCTGAGTCAGAGGCAGCCATGAGTGTTCATAGCTTCACACTGACCCGAAGCCCCCAGTTTCAGGTGGGGAAGGCAGATATAAATAGAAAGCCTTCCCTCTCCCACACCTCAGGCTCTTTGCAGATGAGCAAACTGTTGGGCCTGTGTGGGCGTCTGGAGAGGTTTCCAGTCCCAGCTCTGCCACCGACTTGTGTGACCTTGGAATGATGTCTTCCCACTCTGCGCCGCTAGTTCTCATCTTCAGTCCTCGGGATGGACCAGGAGTGTGATATCTGAGGGCCTGACTTTCAGTCTACCATTGGATAGTGTGTTGGTTCTGGAGCCTGGAGGCCTAGGTTCAAATACTGGCTTTGCCACTTACTAGCTGAGTGACCTTGGACAAGGGCCTTCTCTCCACATTTCAGCTTCCCTAATCAAAAACTGAGCATGCCTGTTTTACGGGGTATTGCGAAGATGCAATGAGATGAGAGTGAAAGTATTTAGCTGATACATACACTTCATGTGAACTATTATTACTAGCTCAATTTTTTTTTTTTTTTGAGTTGGAGTCTCACTCTGTCACCCAAGCTGGTGTGCAGTGGCATGCTCACGGTATTACCTGCTGGGCCCAGGTGATCCTTCTGCCTCACCCTTCCAAGTAGCTGGAACTGTAGGCTCATGCCACCACGCCTGGCTAATTTTTTTGATTTGTTGTAGAGACAAGGTCTTGCCATGTTGCCCAGGCTAATCTTGAACCCCTGGGCTCAGGCAGTCCTCTTGCCTTAGTGCTGGGATTACAGGCCTGAGCCACTGTGCCTGACTACTAGTTCTTATATTAAAAGGTCATTTGACAGTGTAGCAATGAGGCAATTCAGTAAAACATAATAGCTTCTTTTACACCAGAGATGCTATTCAGATAGGCTTTTGGAATCTCTAGACTTTATTTATTTATTTATTTTTTAGTTGGAGTCTCACTCTGTCACCCAGGCTGGAGTGTGTAGTGGCATGCTCACAGCCACCGCAGCCTTGAACTGCTGGGCTCAGGTGATCCAAGTAGATGGAAATACAGGCACGTGCCACCACGCCCAGCTAATTTTTTCTTTTTCTTTTTTTTTTTTTTGAGTTGGGGGTCTCACTCTGTCGTCTAGGCTAGAGTGCAGTGGCACACTCACGGCCACCCCAGCATCGACCTTCTGGGCTCCGGCGATCCCCTTCCACCTCAGCCTTCCAAGTAGCCAGGACTAAGGTGGCATTACCATGCCCTGCTAAATTTTGATTTATTGTAGAGACAAGATCTCACCAAGTTGTCCAGGCTGGTCTCAAACCTGCAGGCTCAGGCAATCCACTTGCCTCTGCCTCCTAAAGTGCTGGGATTATTGGCTGAGGCACAAAGCCCGACCCTAATTTTTGACTTATTGTAGAGATGAGGTCTCGCCAAGTTGCCCAGGCTGGTCTCGAACTCCTAGGCTCAGGCAATCCTCTCACCTCAACCTCCCCAAACAGTGGGATTATAGGCATGAGCCACCATGTCCAACCTGGAATCTCTAGACTTTAAGGCCTTAGTTTCTAGGGTGGACCCTGGATTATAAAACTTTATGATTGCTCAAGAGATCCTTCTGGGCTGAAGGTAGCTGACTTCTATCTTAATTCCACATTGAGAGTGTAAGTGGGTTCCCACATTGTTGGAAAATTGCTTAAAATTTAAGAAAAAACTATTGAGTACTTTGTAAGTTATGCAAACATTGGTGAACACCCAAAACATTTAATCAGAAGATCCAGGTCTCAAGCTATAACCATGAATTTAGGAACTGACCTCCTTATTAATATTGTTAGTGTCAGGGTACCTGCATAATGAACATTTGTATACCTAACCCTGAATTGTACCCCACATCTTTAAAAAAAAATTAAAAGAAAAAAAATACTATTAGTGTCTCAAACTTCTTTTTTTTTTTTTTTCTAGTTGGAGTCTCACTCTGTCGCTCAGGCTGGAGTGCAGTGGCATGCTCATGGCCACTGCAGCCTCGACCTGGTGGGCTCAGGCAATCCTTCTGCCTCAGCCTTCCAAGTAGCTGGAACTACAGGTGTGCGCTATCTCGCCCGGCTAATTTTTTGATTTCTTGTAGAGACGAGATTTCACCATGCTGCCCAAGCTGGTCTCAAACCCCTGGCTCAGGCAGTCTTCTTGCCTTGGCCTCCCAAAGTGGTGGGATTACAGGCTTCAGCCACCACGCCCGGCCACGTCTTAAACTTCTAAGACTTTTCTGAGCTTCTCTTTTTTTCTCACTCTTCCCCCATTCCCAGCACTGGGCTGGATATAAGGGAGCCCTTCAGAAATAATTTTGCTTTAGGCTGGGCACAGTGGCTCATGCCTGTAATCCTAGCACTTTGGGAGGCTGAGGTAGGAGGACTACTTCAGGACAGGAGTTTGAGTTATTATCACACCACTGTACTCCAGCCTGGGTGTCAGAGTGAGACCCTGTCTCTAAAAACAAAAATTTAAAAAAAAATCTTGACATGACTCCCAAATGTGGGAGTATCTGCCTCAGTTTCTTCTTCCTTGTGTGCCTTTTAGGGGGCCGGGAGAACAAGATGCCTATTCTCATCTCCAAGATCTTCAAGGGGCTGGCAGCTGACCAGACAGAGGCCCTCTTTGTGGGAGACGCCATCCTGGCCGTGAATGGAGAAGACTTGTCCTCTGCCACTCACGATGAGGCGGTGCAGGCCCTCAAGAAGACAGGCCAGGAGGTGGTGCTGGAGGGTAAGCCCCAGGGCCTGCTGGTGGGCCCGTGGGGGTATTCAACTTCTCCCTGCCTCCCCCAGGCCTCAGGTGGTCCCGTCCCCACACTAAGGGCTGGGAAATGGGCCGAGTGGAAAACAGAAACAGGGCCTGGCTTACTTTTCCTCTCTTCCAGTCTTTAGCTGTGTGACCTTGAACAAGTCACTTTACTTCCCTGAGCTCTTGTTTCCTTATCTGTAAAACGAGGACTTAGCGCCTGGCTTTCTGGGTTGTTGTGCTCAGGGCAGACGGTATATGGCAGAATGTGCCACCCAGTGAGTGACCTGGGGGAGAAGAGGAACTCAGATTCTTTGTGACGGATCTGGAGGGCTCTAAACCCCAGATTCTTTTAGTGCCCAGGGACCCTAAAGCCTATACTCTTTCGGGAGAGGATTTGGCTTTTGTGTATCAGGACATCAAATACTTCCAGTGCAGATCCGAGAGGAGTTTTGCGGGGGATCTTGGCTGGATGGCTTTCTTTACTACCCCCTCACTGCCTTCTCTGAGCATCAGTTTCCCAACAGTTGTAGGCCTCCTGCCGTGGTTGTCCCGTTTCTGTCTTGCGGTGTCTCTCAGGAGGTTTCTGCTTTGTTCAGCCCTTTCCTCTGACTCTGCTCTGTCAGCCCCGGAAGCCTGTGGGGGCCTGAGGCATGTTTCTTTGGCTTGTGGCCCAGAACAGGCCCAGGGAGGTGGCGGGGGCTGACGGAGAATACTGTGGCCAGAGAAGCTGCTGAGTTGAGTCCCGTGCCCAGATCCTGGTAGGTTGTCTTGGTTTCCCCAAAGGGATCTCCAGCAGGCCATGGGAGCAAGCACACTGTGGTCCTTGGGTGACCTGTGACGTTCCCGTAGTCCTGGGCCTCTGTTCCTACTCGTTTTTGTTTTATTTTATTTTTAAATTTTAGGTATATCTATTTAAATGCTATGGATGGCTGGGTGCAGTGTCTCATGCCTGTAATCCCAGCACTTTAGGAGGCAGAGGCAAGAGGATTGCCTGAGCCCAGGGTTTGAGACCAGCCTGGGCAACTTGGTGAGACCTCGTGTCTGCAATAAATAAAAAAATTAGCCAGATATAGAGGTGTGTGCCTGTAGTTCCAGCTACTTGGGAGGCTGAGGCAGAAGGCTGAGCCCAGCAAGGCTGTGGTGACTGTGAACATGCCACTGCACTCCAGCCTGGGCAACAGAATGCGACTCCAACTAAAAAAAAAAAAAAAAAAGTGCTATGAGTACATTTTAGGAATCCTTAAAAAAGGCTGACTTCTGAGTGTTGGTCCCTAAAAGCTTAAGTAAATCAATCACATTTGAACGGCAAAGTTAAATAATGGGCTGTCACATAAATGATGTGGATATGAGAGGCTTTTCCTCCCAGGGGGGCCTCATTACTTGATATTTATACCCAGCAGTGTGGTTTGAAACCCTTAACATTCATCGACATGTCATGTTGTAACTTCTGTTGTTTGAAAGTTTAGCCTAGCAATGGCAAAGTTTCTGATGGAAGAGGTCCCCCACTCTCCTCATCTTCAGGGTGCGAATGTGTCTACCTCAGCAGTTGTGTCATTCTGAGAAGGTCGTGCCTCTAAATGTTCGCTCTTGAAGCATCTTCTGGCTTCTGTCTGCCTCATGAATGCCACGCCTTCCTCATGAAGCCAGGAAACACCAACACCTGCCACCTGCCTGATGTGGACAGCACTGGGCTCAGAAGCTAAGCCAGACCTGGGGGTTCTCCTGAAGGAGCTCACCCTCTGGTGGGGTACACAACATGTAAACTCAGTCTCCTCTATACAAACTATCTGAAAACTAGTTCCTAAAGTCTTGTCTGCTCTGTGAGAAGTTTCTGTTTGGCCTTGGGTAAGACCTTCACCTTCTTGGGGCTTCAGCTTCCCTATTAGTTGTGTTGTTTTTGTTTTGAATAGGAGTCTTGCACCATCACCCAGGCTGGAGTACAGTGGCATGCTCATGGTCACCGTAGCTTTGGCCCGCTGGGGTCAGGTGATTCTTCCACCTCAGCCTTCTAAGTAGCTGGGACTGCAGGTACATGCCACCATGCCCAGCTAATTTTTTTTTTAATTTACTACAGAGACTCAGGCTGGTCTTGAACCCCTGGGCTCAGGCAATCGTCTTGCCTCTGCCTCCCAAAGTGTTGGTATTACAGGCGTGAGCCACTGCGCCCAGCTGGTTGGGTTTAGACCAGCTCAGAGGTGACCACTAGCTTTCATTTAGTGTCAGCTCCACTGGTAGCCACTGGGAGTTTCACAATGGGGAGGATTGCGGAACTTTGTATGGGCTCAGCAGAATGGAGTTGGCATCAGTTAGCAATGTCTACCACAGCAGAGAAGAGAAAGTAATATGTGCTGTCCCAGGTTTGAGAGGCTCCAGCTCTTATGTGCAGAGACTTTTTTTTGAGTCAGGATCTCACTCTGTCACTCAAGCTGGAGTGCAGTGGTACGCTCATGGCCACTGCAGCCTCAGCCTCCTGGGCTCAGGCAATCCTTCTGCTTTAGCCTCCCGAGTGGCTGGGTCTACAGGCTTGCACCACCATTTCTGACTAAGTTTTTTATTTATTGTGGAGACGAGGTCTCACTATGCTGATCAGGCTGGTCTCGAGCTCCTGAGCTCAGGCAATCCTTTCATCTCCGCCTCCCAAATTGCTGGGATTACAGGCGTGAGTCACTGCTTCCACCTAGTCTCTTTGGAGTTGTTCTCCCGATTCAACTGTCTTCTGGAAAGCGAGCATTCTGCCTGCGACAGCTCAAAGAGGAAGGGAGAGTGGTGGCGAGGCACTAGAAATTTAGGAACCTCTAAATTGCAGGAGGGATCCGAGAAGTCTGGAGAATGGAGGATACTGGGTTGTGGCTGGTCCTGGGGATTTTAGGGAGCTTGTGGAGAAGGTCAGGGCCCAGCAGTTGCCCGCGTTTAGAGCCAGGCTTCCCTGGGAGCCTCTCTGGGGTATGTTCCCCCTCTGAGCCCAATCCTTGGCCACATTGTTCCTTACGCCCCTGCTCTTACCCCACTCCCTTCAAGGGGCCAGGGAATGACGACCTGTCCTTTGGATGTGAGCTTGGCAAGGCAGCAGGGCATCTTTCCTGAGACTTGGGACTTGGTGGATATAGAATCCCCTGCGAATGTTCTGGAAGAACAGTTGTTACCAGCAAACTCCAGGTGTCTGCCAGAGCTTCACTTCCCTGACCTCAGCTGGGGGCTCAGTTGGTCCTCAGGAAGCCCAGTTTCCTCCCAGAACTTTTCTTCTGCCAGGTCAGGGGTTTGCACACATGGCCTGAGCCTGTTCTCAAACCACAGGGCTTTGTGACTAGAGTCTGGGCCCAAGCTGGCAGCCAGCATGCCTCTGTCTGCTGCTTAGAGAGGCCCATTGTGCACAGATCTCAAGCCAGGGCCAGCCTGGGCCCGTGGAGATGAGGGAGGGGAGGGATAGCCACAAAGAAAATGCCCTTCCCTCCTCCCATCTCCAGTGTGGCTGGCAAGACGGCGACAACAGTGAGCCGGTCGTGCATTAGAAAGTATGGATAACTGATTTTTTTTTTTTTTTTTTTG